CGATTTTCGTCGATTTTCTCCAGGAATTGATTGAAACGGTATTGTAATTAAACAACGAGCAGTATATTATCTGTGACGATATTTCACGCGTACAAGGCTTCTTAATTCGATTAAGATACTCTTCTTATAATTTATACGATTCCGATATCAACTTTCTGGCATTGGCAGATTTATCGCGTACCGATCGCATAATTTTAATCCTCTCATATTGGTCGTACTAAATGCATGACACGAACGAACCCGGATTTCTATTGTACATTCAAGTCGTACTGTACATTGGATCGTCATATATAATATAAATAGCAGCTGCAATCTGCTACATAACTAATCGACAAGTTTAATGCCCTGGATAGTACATAGGTTTTGTTATTCGGATATCGTCGGATATCGAACGCAGAGTCAAATCCAATCGCATATTACGTTAATATTTGTGCGCAATTATTACCGTACTTTCTTTCGTGGCTTGCACTTTTTTGAAATATCTTTTTGTTTTAAAATAACAATTCAGTTGCGTGGAAAAATACAAAATGATCTCGATATATTTTACTATTGCAACATATAGACGAATGTGTATGCATAATAAAAATAAACGAGTACAGTATGTAATTTATTTTATCGTTATCACAAGCATAACGTAATTATTTAAATTGCATCATTTCTATCTATTTTCCGTAATATTAAATACATAATTGACAGTTAAGCTCAATTGTTGTTAAAAAAAATCGATGCAATCAATGATACTTTATTTGTTCTTTCTGATCTCTTTCAAAAAATATTTTTAATATACTGTTCTAATTGATTGCTTATCAATTAACCGAGACATCTAAGAATAGACAAAAATTATGTCATTGGAACAAATATAAAACTTTTTAATTATTTGCCATTTTGCATATGAAGGATCTAGGAGATAAAGAAAGATCTTGGAGATAAAATTTTGAAGTTTACGAAATTTCGCATGTTTTCTTAAATTAATCCAATTATCGATGCTTTGATGACGAAGTCTGGCAAGCATGATTCTCGCTTCGTTGATGATAGAGGTATTTTTTGTGGAATTACCATAGAAAACCCGATTCTAATCATGCTAATCGCCACTACGCATAAAAATCTCTTCGAATAGCTATCTCGAAATGCGCATAATTATTGTGTAAACGATCTATCTAAATGCGTTGAAAATATTGTTTCTTCGAAATTTCTAGATACTTCTGTCAACATTTATAAGATTCCTTTTAAGAGATATGCAGGAGATTCGTGCCACCACATATCACTGTAAGCCAAGCCTAGTACCGAAATACATGTATTTAAGGAATACTTTTTTATTTAGTTACTTTTTTTTATTTAGTAAAAAATTCAATACTTTGTTTATTGAGATACGTAACATGCATAATAACAGTTAACGGTATAGATCAATTTTCAACAGAAATTTAACAAAGATTATCTAAACTTTTTGTAATAATTGTGTTTTCTGTGGCTAAACATATTTGGAACTTAAAATGAGATAAATATATGTATGTTTGATATTTGGCGAAAGCGAGAAAGAGAGAGTTCTAGTGCAGTCTAGTTCAGGAATAAGAAACAAATCTAAAGAATTTAATAAGCGTGTCCTTTACAGTTTACTTTTCTATCCATTTGTTGTGTATATTTCATACTGTCTTTTCTCTTTTCATTTTAGCGTATGGTTTATAGTGACTCACTTTCTCCTGTAAATAGCGCAATAATTTAAAATACACTTGTTAAAGAACGTATTAAGAAAATAATTTTTCTGAAAAAATAACTATTGCTATAAATTTATCCATCGTTTTATTACGCAGTAATTATGAATTGTATTGCAAAATCTCCTTAGCGCATACCCGAACGTTACTTTGGAAATTTGCGAAGCATAAAGGATCCGGGGAATGCTGCGAAAACAAGGTGGCTCAACGACATCGTAGGCGATTTTCTGCCAGTAAACTTTAATGACGCGGCTTGCGAAGAGCTGATTCGCGGAAAGTATAATATTTAATGACTGTTTCGCGGTAAAGCTGGATCGAGTCGGATATACTTTCAATAATCGATGAGATCTCGTTTTGAGAAGATAATTCTCAAGCAACGTTAAGAATTGAATTTTAATATGTTTAAAAAATCAAAAATAAATTTCAACTTTAATGCGTTAAATTTAATAAGTGTGTGTGTAATGTAGTCTTAAAAATTTTACTGAATAGTTAGCGAACTTCATTATTCCAAATATTTTTTAATTTTATCAAACTTTTCTCTCTCTCTCTCTCTCTCTCTCTCTCTCTCTCTCTCTTTCCTCTTTTTTTACATTACTACAATGTAATTGATTAAATAGTCGTATTTAAAAATAAGTGTTTGCTAATTTTTATTTCAAATTAAAAATTTCTTATTTTGACATATTGAAAGTACAAGCTGATGCAGATAAAATATCTAGGTACATGCGTCTTTGCACTTACCCGATCAAGCATATGTGGGCGATCGATTCATTCGGTGATCGACGGCTCTATGGATTGCAGACATGATAGATATCTATGCTGATTGTGTATACGCAACCGGTCGCGACCTATTCAGAATAAATCACTAATTATGCTGAACATTGATAATACGCGTGAGTTTTTTTGATGTGATACCGGTTTCACGGCTGATAAATTAATTTCCTCATTTTATTTCTGTCAAATCGAATAAATCATGTTGTTTTTTATTTGTAACATTTGGTGAATGTTGTCTGGTACGCTGGAAAAAACAATATATATATATATATATATATATATATAAAATATTTTAATTATATTTGGACATATGTGTATTTTAGCACAATAATATTATATACACACATATGTGAATATAGTACTATTGTGTTAAAATACACATGTGTCCAAATATGATTAAAACGCTATCTTTATTATTTTGCATATGTTAATGCAAGAATTTTTCATCATTTTTTTAATACATGTTCATATCGTACATTCAGTTAAAATCATTAAAGTATCAAATTTAATTTTTAAATCATTTTTAATGCATAAGAAGCATAAAAAACCACGTATCAATAATACTAAAATTAAACAACATAATTTATTATTATCTCTCAAGTTGCTCCTTTCAATCACTTTCTATCGAGTATGTAATCAAAATCAATATAATTGAGAAGAAAAGTATATCGTTATAAAATGTTACGCATTAAAAATCTAATCTTTCGTATAATTATATATTACAAGATTATAAATTTTTATGACTTTCCTACTTGTTCCCTCTAATCATCTATTTTATGGTTTAAGAGACTCTACTCTATAAGCTTAAGCTCTAAGCGAAATTAGTTTCCTCTAAAAAGTCGTGTAAAAATTTGAACATACGATAACGCTGAAATGATTATTGGGTGATTCCACGATCATATCACAGCAATTTCCGGAATCTTTCGATTACCTCCGTCCAACTATTAAGTCGCATAAGATTTATTAGAAATAGCAATAACAAATCTTTTATGAATGAACGAGGAGCGAGTGTATTAGTTAATTCGCGCGAATCCACGCTTTCCGTACAATTCCCGGCGAAGCACCCGGAGGTTGCTTCTTACGGACGAGCTTCTTCGCGTAAGGGGTCTCCACGATGTTCCTTTTGCTGAATCTCCGACGGTCTCTGTGGGTACACGAAGCCATTAATATTATTACCAAGCGAGAGCGTGTGGGTATCATTATCGCGGACGATGGAAAAGAAACGACGATCGAAAGGGACGTTGAGAAACAAGAAAGCGTGGTAGGGAGAGAGATGGAAGGAAAGACGAGGACGGTCTCAGAAGGTGGCGGCAGAGGAGGTAGCGGTGGTATCCTCAAGTAAGAGAGCATCTTTATACACTCGACTCGAGGAGGCTCCTCGATTACGCGAGCATTCGAAATTTTTGGAGCTCTTCCGACACCGCTGGGAATCACCCTCGGAATTGATGTTGCCCGGCCACGCAATCTCGGGCCGTTCAGACTGCTCGATTTTTCTCGCCTGCCCCGTACCATCCCTCTTCCTCCTCTCAACCATCTGAAAACAAGGAAGGAACATATTTATTATACTTGTCGTGACCCGGGAGCGGCGCATGGGACCCGCGCGTTCGTCGCTGCGAATACTCGTGCATGACGAGAAAAAGTGGTATACCGCGTAAAGATTAATATTCTGCAAAATAGAGGCGAGAAGAAACATTTTCGCCTCCGTGAGGTTTGGTGATTTATCGCGTTGTAGCCTACTTGAAATGCCCACGAAATAAATCTGCCACTTACGTACTCGTTAAAAGACGAATAAGCTGTGTCAATTAGGAGATATATCTACTTTTCTCACATCGTTACTTACTTTATACTCACATCGTACTATTCGTGAATATATAAATGTTTAAATATATATATATATATATATATATATATAATACGATTTTAAAAATTATAAAAATCTTATTTTTTTCATAATAACTTGCTTTGAGAGATCACAAATTCACAAGTACGCTCAGCATATATCGTTATATAATGGTTATATAATATTAATTTTGTTTTCCATTATCTCAAAGCGAATTGAGCTCCTGAATGGCAAATGATACTTTGCTTTTAATTTTTGTTTCTTTTCATTTGTCTCGCTCGGTATTCGTCATCGGAGATTTTCAAGAATTTCTTCATGTACCGCGCAGCAATATATTTAATTAAGTCGAGATAATGCAGTTTACGATACACTAAGCACACGTACGATTACACGTTGCGATTAAATCTCGATATTACGATAACAGTTATGATAACTGATGTTGACCCAAACGTCGGGATCATGGACCCCAATGTTATTTTCTCTCTGAAAACCGTTATAAAATAATTAAAATATCGTACGAAAACATTTCTTTGTAATATTTATTATAATTTAAACTCTTTCATTAAAAATAAATACATTAAAATAAGAGATAAATTTTACTAAACTGTAACTATGATGCTTTTTGTTCAATTTAATCTACTGAACGGATATGTTAAAATTGTGATGTTTATTTTTTGCAGATTAACTTGCCCTGAGCCGTACTTCCTTAGCGAAGGTTTATATGCGACACCAGAAGAACTCGAAAATACTCGCGAGATCATTCTGCATGTAATAACCATCGGAGCTTTTATTGAAGATTCAACAAAGGTAAGTACCACTAAATTAGATAAATATCTAATTTCTCTAGATAATTGTAAGAGTCAAAGGTCTGTTAATTTCTTTCCGCCGTGATTTACTTTACCTGTCATCCTTTCTTTATGACAAGTGTTTTATACGTTATATAATTATTCTAAAAATATGAATTTTTTTGTATCATAGGATTATTTATAAATATGATTTATTATTAAATAAGAATTGATTAATAAGATTTTCATTCTAAAATTAATTTTTAACAAAAAGGATAACGATAACATTTTTTTATGTACCGATATTTAAAAAAGATAGAAAAAGAAATGTTTTTTCATGTCAGTTAGGCTTGTTTTCAAGATGCTTGAATATAAAAAATATCTTACGACAACTCTTGATGGGTACTAAAATTATTTTTTAATCTAATAAAATTTGCCCAATTAAACTAGTATTACAACACGGACCATCTACACTATGTAACGTTTTCTACTTTATCTTCCATTCGCGTTACGCTTGTAGAGATCCTTAAAATATCTTATCGGTCAATTGAACAGCTCCATGCCAGGCTTTCTTCATGTGCAGCTCAATAAGTGCGGCAAATAGCTAAATAAATAAAAATACAACTAATTGCAAAGTGCACGTAGATGCCAGTTCATCCATCGACCTTTCTTATCTGACATGGGTACCGATTAAAATTACATATAGCTATATACAGACCCATACCATGTTGGTCTTGCACAGTGCTAGGGCTATCTCGCGGCTCTCTCCTCGGATCGCTAATTAAACGCAACGGCTAATTAGATAACTGATAAAAGGTTACGGCGAGAGCGGTACGATGTACTCTTAGTCTCTCTCTCTCTCATCCGCACGCGTGTTCTCTTTTGCCACATCCGTGCACCACGTTTCCTTTTACCTCTTTCCCGCAATCCACCGAGTTCGTTCCGCTGAAATCTAAAACACAGCTTGAATTCCACGATCGACGAGGTCCCCGAGGACTTTGAGACTTTGGAGGTTTCTCTTGGAATATTTTTGTGCCGATGTGCCTACGTGGGCAGGGCGATTGGACTCTCTCCGTTTAAAGTGCCTTGCTTAATAGCCGGACGTCTATTTAAATAGGCATTCGATTTTCTATGGATAAACAGCGTTATATAAATGTATTGTACCGCAGCATCAAAGTAATATAAGCGGTCAAAAGAGTAATAAATAGAAAGTAGTCAAAAATACACACACACACACACACACACGACGTTACCTTGTACACTGCTGTTTAGATATCGATCGGGAAAAAATTGATTTATTATGATAATAAATTTTATTTGGCTTTTGCTGATGCCGTTATTATTGCGGCGTGCGTTAAGGCACCTGAAACACTGATAATCGGGGACAGACTTCCTCGAGAAAATGTTCCCTCGCTGTTTATTCTGTCGCGATAACGAGTCTTGAAACTGGTTCGCATCCAGCTTCGTATGCCTCATTACTTGGCCGAAGGGCTTGGTATTTTATTTACGCGTTTATACTCAGGTACAGTTATTATAATTGCTTGTCGCCCTTGCGTGATTTATGAGGGCCCGGCTAAACACACTCGCTCTTGAACGGTTACATCCTGCTCCTAATAGCTACCGTGCCGGTTTACACCGTAAAGGCCGTTACGCGATACTCCCAATAAACGACGCAAAATCCGCGCGTGTCTCTTTCGCTCCTGTATATAAATTTCGCAATACATTCTTAATAACTGAAGTGGTATTTCATTAAATCATTACTTTGCAGCATTTGATTTACATAAACCGGATGAATTAGCTGAAGAGATTACGTTAATTCGTCCGGTTCACGGTAGAAATTTCAAATTATAAACATTGAAAAAGAAGATTAAACATTTCTAGCAGTTGGCGAGATATTTAATTATATTATACACACACACACACACACACACACACACACACAGGTGACGGCAAGGGG